ATACAGCTGTTAGCACAATACATACATCAATTGTGTAAAGCACATTTGCACATTCATTGCCCCCGCTAGGATTCTTATGTGCTGGCTTTCGGGTCCATCTTCCTGTAGGATGGTCTGTATTGCTGTATTGTATTGACTCAGCTTTCTTCCCGGAGCAGGTCGTGCACATTCCGAGGGTAGGATCCATGTCTTATTCATTTCAGTGAAGGCTCGGTGGAGGCCTCTGTGGATTGGCTCAGTCAATATGGTAATATCCTATTCATCAGTAGATCATCAGGGATTCCCAAGGAGGATTCAATAAGCATTTACTGAATGGATGAGTACATTGACCAGTAGAGGAGTGGCTGACCTCATTCGAGAGTGGATGCTTTTCCTCCATGGAGTGACGGAGTATCGGATCAGGAGGGACTTTTACATTATCCAGTTAGAACCACCTTTTACTGATAACTACCAGAGAGGCATACATCAGTGGTCCAACATTTCTTTTATTTGATCATTTTGTGTATCTTTCTCTGGATAGTTGATCATCTTCAAAGGATGGTGACTAGACATATGAAAAACAAGCTCACCTGCCATTGAGTGGATGTCTCTTTTCACACTTAACTTTGCTTAGGACAAGTTTTTTGTAGGTTCACTCAAGAGGCAGGGCTTAAATCACATGGGGGAACATCGCCACAAAGGAGTCTGAGAAATGTCGCTATTAGCTTTCGGCCTCCATATTTCAGGAGAGTGGAATGGACCCCGAGTGAGTTGAGCTGCCGCATGTTCTGGGTTGTTTTTTGGTTTATTTTTGGATCTCACTTACCTTACATCTTTCCCTTCTGTTTTTTAAACTTTCTGTCTCCATGGCATTGTGTGTTTTTTCCAATTACCCGCATGTACCATGTTGCTTCAAGCCTCTGTGCCTTTACTAATGTGGTAGTTATGTAATTATTTGTCAATTTGAGAGGATTAAGAGTGAAGGGGTGGAGTCTAGCCCTTGTTATAGCCAATGAGGACTCTGTGTGGACATGGCCTTCTTCTAAGGATTCAAGGAACTCCTGTATTTCTCCTTGGAGGCGGGAGACACTCTCTCTTTTGGCTCACTCCCTGGGAGACATTACATTTGACAAGACACATGGAACTACGCTAGTGCCCTGAGCTGGAGAAGCCATGTGGAGACTCCTGCCAGCGCTGAGATGCTTACAACACTACTGGATCCACCCACTGGCTTGTGATCTTCCTGCATGTGTTTCATGAGCCTGAAGAGGACTTTATAGATTGGTATTGGACATATGGACTAATATCGAACTTGGGCTTGATCTGGACTGGGCTGGGATGTTTTCTTAATGTTCAATTGCTCTTGTGTATACAGCTCTTTCTTATGCACATAGGAGGGTCTATAGATGTTTCCCTCATCTACCCGGACTAACACAACTAGTAATAGCCAGAGTGCTAGGAGCACAGACTAGTACCAGGACACCGTGGGTTTGGACCCCCGCTCCACTAACTTCATAGGACTATTCCTTAGTGCAGCACCTGCCATAAAGTCAGTGGCCAATCCATGCTCATTGTATCATACGAAAGGAGATGTTGTAACATATGGGAAATGTTCTCTCCTTGTGATCAGACTAACTTGTTATAGCGCGAATCTAGCACTTTAGATCTAAAGCCCTAATCTAGCACTTTATGGAGTTCCTGGATGGTACAAACCACTAATAAGCTTGGCTGCTAACTGAAAGGTAGGAGGTTTGAATCCACCCAGAGCTACTTGGGAAGAAAACTTTGGTCATGCACTTCTGAAAAATCAACCATTGAAGACTATGGAGCACAGTTCTACTCTGAAACATATGAGGGCGTGCACCCTATGTCTTCAAAGCGACATCTTTGGGTTTTTAGCATTTTCAAGAGCTCTTTTGTGAGAGTAGGAGGCAGAAAGGTCAAGCTTATTCTCATTTCATGGGTACTCAGAGGTAAAAAGAAATCATTACCAGGTGATCTTGTATCTTATATTGCTTCGTTCTCCCACCCCAGTTAATATTTGACATGCATTTTCCGTTCCTTTCCCCAACCAATCTGGTCTCCGTTACCAACAGATCCATGTATCACTACTGCTTAGTCTAGTGATTGTGTGATTCAGGGAAAATATTTTATGACATTTAATGCAAATGCTGACTGTTTGGAATCCTATGTTTGAAGACAGATGCAGAAGGCAACCCATGACATAGATTTATTGAAGAAACCCTAAACATAATTTACCACTCATTACTGCTGCTTACTCCTTGAGCTTAAGCGACACTATAGGACAAGGTAGAACTACCCCTGGGGTTCAGAGGCTGTAACTCTTTAGGAGAGTAGAAAGCATCCTCCTTCACCCTGGAGAGGCTGGTGCGTTCTGTTGACCTTGACGTCAGCAGTCTAATGTCTACACTTGGCAGTGTGTTTGGTGTAGTTTCACTCACTGAGTTACCCTCGCCATTTTGAGGGGATATCTTTTCTCGGAGGCCTTTTTGGTTCCTGGACTGATACTCATCTTGAACTCTCTTGTCTGTGTTTACATTCCTTAGAAGGGGAGACAATCAGATTTAAGGTATGTAATAATATCTGGCATTTACAGCCCCAATTTTAAAATCACAGCTGTCATTTATTCAACTGTGAGGCTAGTGTATCTAGCAATACCTTAGTAAACCGTGAAAGAATGCGTGCTAATCCAGGAGGGAGCTTTTATAATCTTCTACTCTATTTGTATAGGAAGTTCATGGAAGGTGCCCTCAAAGAAAGTCAGTCTACAAATAGAATCTGAATCCAGAGTTAGTGACCAACATGGGAAAAGACCTAGCCAATCCATCCCCACAACAATTTATTTGCCGTAAAGGAGATGGAGGCCGCAAAGAGGTCCAGCAACTTACCCAAAGGCATAGAGCTACTTACTGGCAAGCTGGCCAAACTCAACTCTCTGGACTCACTTCTCCTCTAATGCACCGTTGTGTTGTATATTAACTGGCTTTAAAGAAAAGTTGGCAGCATTGAGTAATTACTGAGAAAAGCCTAGAATATTAGGCTCTTTCACTTTTTTTTTGTCACATTGAGAGGAATGGTGTTGAAATATTCTTAAATGAAGAACACATTGAACTTAATTTTCTCCTTTTGGTTAATGGAGATTGTTGGTTTTCATGGCTCCTGGGGATGAGACAGATAGTAGGAGCATTATTTCTTCTTCCTTTACTCATTCTTTCCTCGTAATCTACCCCCTTCTAAGAGGACCACCACAGATCTCCATAAGATATCCATAGAGATCAGGTATGTCTCTCACTTTCACAGAGCCACAGAGGAAAGATGTTTATACAAAGAGAATTTCTGCCATGAGATTCCTGTCACTTATCTCCCGGGAGAAGTGTATTGGGAAGGAAGGATTCCTTAGTTCTCTTACCTCTAGCCAAGGGATTTTCACAATTTTAAAAGGGAAGAGGACTTGATCAAGAACCTAAAATCTTATGAATGTATATGTGTACCTATGTAACTACCAAGGTCTCTTATCAAGACGAGTTTGTAAATGTAAAGACTATTTTTTTACACTTATTTTACAGACCTTTTCAGAGGCTTTAAGATTTAATGCAGATTATGGTGTTTTCGAAGTAATTAATAATGCTCCACAACTTCTGGAAAAGCAACTCAGAAAAATTCTACAAAGCCAGCAGCCTCGAAATCCCATCTATGATGTCGTAAGGAGGGGGAAGAATGATGCTAGACCTCCTGCAATGAGTGCCTCCTTGGACAAGGACACCATCAATGTCAACTACAATATTATGGTAAGAAACCATGTTTAGTTTCTATCTTGCCAGACACACAAAGTATTTGTTGAGATTAACGTGGCTTGCGTTGTGCTTCCCTAGATAAGAGGTAACTACATTAAAGAACATTTTATTATATTTACCCTAGCGTTTGTTAGATGCTCCATCATCTGTGTGGGTCTAATGGGTATGGTAGTCTAGTAGTTTCATTGCCATTTGATTATCAGTATAAAAGGTGTACTGAATATACTCTGACTAGTTAGAATACCAAGTCACTTTTGGGCATTATGCACATGTCTGTCCCTTCCTTTATAATGGAGACACATTCTAGAAAATGTGAGTATACAGTACTTTTATTCTATTTGGGTTCAAAACCAATCCTGTCATGCAGTTCAGAATTCAGATTTCTCTCCATTGGCCTTAAATTCTACTCTTAGTTTCTGGATGTCCTTAGAGCAAGGTCAGGAAACGTGGATGCTCCTGCTGACTTGCAACTCACTGGTCTGGGCACTTAAACACGTCGCTCGGTGAATTCGAGTTCATCGTCTGTCCAGTGATGCCTCTCCACATACTACTTAGTGTGTTATGTAGATCAAATGGAATATGAATGGATGTTTAATAATTTTATGAAACATTTTCCATCGACTTTTAAATTTAAAAATATTAAACATATTCCATTGATTTACAATCCCCGATAGAATTAGACTATAATAAGACAGTGAAGGAGTAGCTCTACTCCAGTCCAAAATTTCCCCAGTTCTTCTATTGCTGAATTAAAATTTATTTCTGTCTTTGTTGTTAACTTCCATCCAAATCAATTATTTTAGCAAAAAGATTAGATCAAAGCCTTAGGAATGTTTCCCTTTTGGGGTACTTAAATATATAAGATTAAGGGGGTTGTTTTTCTTTGGGGAAAGTGATAATGATCCAAATAGTAGTTACTATTAGTAGTAGATGGGAGAAAGGTAGGGCTTTCTACGCTCACACAAAGTGACAGTCTCAGACACTCAGAGGGGCTGTCCTATAGGGTTGCTGTGTGTCGGCACCGATGACAGTGAGTTTGGTTATCAGTAGTAGATATCATTGGGAAATTTCCCTTTTGTTGACAAAGCAGCCATCACTTCATTTGTTTACTGGACGCCATCTAAGATAACATAGAATAATTAAAAGTCTGGCTAGTTATCTTGCTTTAAAATGAATACTATTTAGTTGCTTGTATAAGGGTAAGGGGTAGATGAAAAGAAGTCAAGGGAAATGAATACAGCCATTAAATCGAGGTTCTTGGTGTGGGAATTGCAAGCATTTTGAGGGCAGGGATCAGTGTTTGGCTTGCTCCCCAACAAGCCACGAGTGTCAGGCACTTCAGAGTGTGAGCTAACACGTGTTGGGCTGAAGCTTGAGAGCATGTGTTACTTTATTTAACCGGGTAAGTGTTGTAAATCTGTTATGCTGTTGACATGCTGTTAGACATTAGAGATACACTAGTGAATAAATGTGGCCCCTGTCTCTAGTGAACTTACAGAAGAAACATGGTATTTAAAGGAATAATTTACATATAACAAAAAGTGTGTTATGGAGCAAGAGGAAAACAAGTCTCAAGTTTTCTTGATTGATATAAAACTGAAAAACCCAATAATCACAGTACCCCTAAATGATAATTTCACTTACATCCTGATTTTAAGATCTTAATGGGGTATTGTTAAGTAGAATCCTGAACTATGGTGTAGTATTAAATTAAAAGTGGTGCGGGGGAGTGGGGTGCCAGCCCCACCCACTACTAGAACTCACTGGTTCAGTAATACTATTTCTGGGTTCAATAATGCACAATTGTACAGTTGAGATATATAAGTATTATATTAAAGTCATCGAGAGCAATGAGAGATATTACAATAATACAGTCGGACATATTATATGGTAGCATTGCTCACCTCAGCCCAGCTTGGTGGTCCACGTGGAGAGAGGGGGAAGGGAAGGAGGGAAAGGGAACAGGGAGAGGGGGAAGAGAGGGGAGTGACCAGGGAGTGAGCAGCAAGGAGGGGAGATCAGAGAGTCAGAGAGGTCAGAGAGCTCTATATTGCTGACTCACGCCTATATACCTTTTGGGGGCAAGCCAGCCCACTAATTACAGGTAGAGACATACATCACAGGGAGGAGCTGCACTATAGGTTACACAGCAATGAGAGGGTGGTCTAGGGTCTCCATAGGAACATTATCAGTAGGGTGAAAACCCCTCCTACAGGAGCCTGTCCATTGTCCCCAGAGGCAGGGAGCAGGCCCACCCCTGCGGTGGGATGAGACAGCAGTCTGGCAACTGATTGCCCTCAGGGGAGGGAATGCCTGCCCATCTGACCTCCCCCCACAAGTCCCCTTTTTGTTTTATCTATAAAATTCAAAAGAGCCACAGTGGCTACATGGTTATTTTCTATACATTGAAAACTGCCAAAGCAAAACGTCATGATCCAATTAATATAGCCAAAAATTCAGGCATATAGAAAACATTTTGCTTGTATAAGGGTAAGGGGTAGATGAAAAGAAGTTAAGGAAAATGAATACAGTCATTAAATCGAGGTTTAATGGAGGATAAAGGCCTGGAGGATAAAGACCCCCTATGCCCATCTATTATTGGAAGAAAGTATGAGAGGGACTGGATGCTGCAGCGGGAAGGAAAGGAGCAAAATAAAAAAGGTCAAAACCAAGTGTAATTCAGGAAGGCAAGAATGGTTCAATAGTAAGAAATGTTTTAATATAATGAAGCATCTTAAGAGGTGAAAGGAGATATCCATATATCAGTCCCAATTAATGCCAAAGATATCCAGCAAAGTTCATTGAGCAACAAAGCAGATATCAATAGGCTTTTGTGATGTCATGTTTGCCATCTCCTTATGATCTGTAGGAGCCTTGGTGGCACAGTGGTTAAAGTGCTAGGCTGATATCCCCAAAGTCAGTAGTTCAAACCCACCAGATGTTTCACAGGAGAAAGATGTGGCAATCTACTTCCATAAAGATTTACAGTCTCTTTTCTGGTTGTGTTTGATCAATGGAATTGTATCTGAGAGGAATTACTGAGAGGTTAACGATGGGCAAGCATGACAGTGGGGCATGAGGAAAGAAAAAAGGAAAGAAGAAGAAAGAAAAAAATTATAGACATGTAAATATATAAATACTTAAATATTGTTATATATGTTAATATATAATATAAATATAAATATATATAAATGCAAATGCAACAAGGTAGCAGATGGACTTTGGCCCTCTACTTAAATCTTATCTCAGTACAAGAGCAGTTTGTTCTAAGGTGACATTGTATGATACCTTCCTGACACAATCACTGAAGTCAAAATGGGTGCATAAGCAAATGTCGTGAAGAAAGGTGATGGTGTCTGGCTACTAAAAGATATAGTGTCTGGGGTCTTAAAGGCTTGTAGGCAAACAAGCAGCCATCTAGCAAGGAAGCAACAAAGCCCACATGGAAGAAGCACACCTGCCTGTGTGATCATGAGGTGTCGACAGGAAAAGGTATCAGAAGTTCAAAAACAAACAACCAAATCAATGTGAAGGGATAGGGATTTAGTAGAGACCTAAAACCCACCTGCAAGTTAATTGGACAATCTTTCTCAGAAGGGATATTAATCCAGGGTGTAGCTTAGTACTAATGAAAAACATAACTATCTTCTAGTTCTTTAATATTTCCTCTCCGTACTATTATGGTTTTTATTTGTTTTACCTCATTAATCATGTTAGACTTGCATATGTTCATTTGTATAATGAAGATCATTGGAAACATGAAAGCCAAAATAGACAACTCTTCAGAAACAGTAACAGGAGTAATGGTTAACTGAAGGAACGGGAAGTGAGGGGTTAGGAAAGGGGGGCGTGATAGCACTGATGTCTGGATAACCCCACTCGAGGGGAGCAAACCACAGAATCGTAAGTGAATGGATATATTGGACGGTGTAAGATGCAGCAAAAACAAAATAAAATAAGGGTTCCTGGGGGGGAGGGTGGGGGTAAAGGGGAGCTGATATCAAAGAGTTCAAGAAGAAAGAAAATGTTTTGAAACGGATTGTGGTAGCAATTGTACAATACTGCTTGATGTCATTGAACTATGGCAGGTTATGATATCTGTAAGCGCTCCCAATAAAATGATATAAAAAAAGAAAGTTACACACACACACACACACACACACACAGATTTACAGTATTGAAAACTTTACGGGTCAGGTCTCCTCTGTCCTACTGGGTCACTTTGAGTTGAAATCACTTGACAAAGGTCTAGGCCCCTCCTAAACTGGCTACTAGGACATCTTGACATCTGGGCCCAGTTCAGAAATGGCCACAGGAACTGATGCATGATGGTTCCATTAATGCAGGAGTGTTCTCCGGATGTCTCCCTTTTCCCAGCCCATTCTGCATAAACACTTGTAGCCTGTTGGCACCTACCCTAGCACTAGTCAGTCATCAATAGCTTGGCTGCCATGCTCTTGTTCAATTCGATTTTCATCATATTCTTAATTGGAAAACAGAGAAAGGCCTGAGAGGCCGCTGCCTTGGTGGTGCTACCTGACCTCCTGGCATGGGAATGTCGTTCCATCAGAGAGGTGATTGAGTCCAGGGCAATTGAGAAAGAACACTTTCTCTATGAAATTGGAGTTGCCAAAGACACACACATACACACACACACACACACACACAGAAGTAAAAGGCTAATAAAAATCTGCCGTTTCAAAGCAAGGTGATGACAAGTACAACTGTGTTTAAGACATTTCTTATTTGCCACGACGTACAGTTTCTATATTTCTTTGACAGAAGATGGTGCTAAATGGCACCATGGGATCAGCCACATTGAAAACATAACTGCTTACACGTCAGCCAAAGGAAAACAGTGTAAAAGAGTTCAAGGGGATGCACTATTTAATCATATCTTGAAAAGTTTACATTTCTGATATTGTAACCTTTCCCTTACCCCATCCCTGAAAAATCCTTTAAAAAACCCACTGAAGCCACCATTCAATGATAAAGAAATAACAGTGCATGCATAAATTTGAACATGGGCATCTCTGATTTGAAGTATGACACATGAATAAATCAACAAAAGGAAGCCCTGAATTCTCGAACTGACCCATTGTTGCCAGGGGCTGTCGAGAGTAGGTTCCAACTCATAGCGCCCCCGGTGTACAACTCAACCAACGCCGCCTGGTGCTGAGCCACCCTTGCAGTTGTTAACCGTGTCATCTCTGTGTCACCTCCCTCATTGAAGGCCTTCCTCTTTTCCCTGGCCTTCAGCTTTACCCAGCACAACGTCCTTTTCCCGGGACTGGCCTCGCCTGATGCTATGTGCAAAGGTGTGAGACTCTATTAGGAGACCAACTACTTGACCTTGGCCTGCGTGCCCAAATGGAGCCTGTGTCAAATGCTCTTGTCCTTCCATTTCTGATTTTCCTTTCTTTTCCTTTTAAGTTTAGGGCCACTGTGTAAATCTCAGAAGGTGAGGGATTATAGGTGAATTGTTCAGTAGGTAGATAACTGGGAAAACAGGGTTTTGGCGAACTGACTCATCTGACAACCCTACAGAATTCTTCCAGGGTTCATACTGATTTTTACACATCTAGTGGCTTCACTGTTAATGAGAACTCGAGTGTTGGGTGATGGTCAGTGTGATATCCTATGTGGAGTCTTCCTAACTGCAGGATCCAAATGTCCTTCAGAAACCGCTGACAAGCAATGACACAATCAGCAAGACACTACTGTTAGGTCCTGACTGTCCCCATCGTTTATTCTACTATTTATTTAATTTCCCAGAAGGGCAAGTGGGTGGTGTTTTTGTTTTGTTTTGATGAGCAGGAGGAAACCATTGTGTGCTGAGTTTTCCAACCCTGGGAGTCTCATGACTTTGTAGTGTGTGACTTTACACTTTCATGCACCCCCATGAGCATCAGCTTGTCAGATGTTGCAGCCTACTAAGTGGGCATTCACTTTGCTCCCTTGGAGTTAATAACAGCCTCTGTATCGATACTAGTGCTAATATTGGAGCACAGCTATTACCTTAACAGTTTCCCCCAAAACAAATAAAACCAGACCCATTGCCATCTGGTTGTTTCTAACTTGTGTATGTAGGGTTTTTCAAGGTGGTAAATCTCTACGGGAGCAGCTAGCCTCATCTTTCTCCTGAGGAGCAGAGGGCTGGTTTGAACAGTTAACCCTGTGGCTTAGCAGTCCAACACTTACCCTAGAAGGCCAGTAGGGCTTTAGCAGATAGTCACATTTTTAAAAGAAGCCACATAAAATCAGACACATTGTCCTCGCTGAGATACACACTTTATGGGTTGTTTTATTCATTGGTAGCATTTGATTAATGTCCAGGGTACTGTCATGCTTTAGAGTTCAGAGTAAAGGAATGGAAAACCAGAACCAAGAGTGAATACAGGTTTTAGTATGAATAGTAACTATAATAAGATTTCCAATAATTTTGTATTGTCCTCATAACTTAAAAGATAAAAATCTCATAAAATTTATAATGAGGTCTCCCACCGGCTTCTTCAGTCTTGCCTGCCTCATCCCCCAGGATGCAATCTGGTTATATTAAACCCATTTTTGTTTCCACTCTTGCCACCTTCCCCCACCTCGCTCAGCATGCTTCCTGTCCAAGCGTGGCCTTTCCTGTGGGAAACCTTTCCTGGTTTTCATGCCTACCTGGGCTCCCACACAGGTCTACACCCAAGGCTTTTAAGAGTCCTGGAATTCCATGTTGGCTGCCTGGAGACTCCTGGAGTGCAGGGCCTTTTCTTTCAAATTAACCTTGGCATGCCCTGGATAATCCCTGGGGATGTTGAATACTCAACCAAACATGTGAAACTGGGAGGAACAAGGGGGATGTTGGGATCATAGTGGCCTTACCAAGTTTCCCCGGCGAATTCCTTCTCGCGTTGTCATTTAAACAAACCCACAAACGTACCTTATGATTTGAAAACACCCAGACTGACTGACTTTGTTCCAGTTCCTCCTCCTCCAATAAGGTGTGCACGTTTTCTGGATTGGATCTGCCCATCTGTAAACCGGATAACAATGGTTGGTACAGGGTTAAGAGAATTACAAGAGGTTCCAGAAAGCCTCGGATCTGTGGCTTTGGGGTTTGGTGCCCTTTTGTGCCAATATGATGGGGCTTCAAACACTTAGAGGACGATTCCATTATCTTTTCATTCCAATTATCCATAACCCTTTAGAAGCCCCTCATCGAAGGTACACATAATTCTCCCAGTGATCACCAGAGCTTATTCTTGCTTTTATACTTCGCTTGCATTGTTCGGAGAGAGGGTTTCATTTGACACTTTTCATTTGTCCTCTAACAGTGTCTTAGTCGTGAGCAAGGTATTAAGTGGATCAAGAAAGAAAGACTCCCTGCATTTTTGGAAAGTGACTGCTACTTTGAATACAGGTATTGTAATCCCATCAGTGTATACAGGTTTTTTTTCTAAAAGGCTATTATTACTTTTTCCATATGTAATATTTTTTTTGGTACTTGCTTGGTATAATAGTATACTTAAAAAAAAACTCATTGACATCTGAATTCTACGTGCGAAAGAATTGGAGTGATAGAATGCAGGTTTAAGAGATAAAGACACCTAACTTTTCCTAAGAGGCATCACAGAAACAGCAACCGGATGTCCCTGTACTTCATTAATCATTTTATCTAGTGCTAATAATGGCATTTATGTGTAATGTATTAAAAAATGTTATGAAAAAAATAGAATGTCATGGTGGGGGGGTGTCTTATTATTCCTTGAAGTCTTTTGATTTTCAAAGTGTCATATTAAGCATTCTGAAATTTTGCCAAGATTTGATTATCATTTTAAAAATACAAATCAAATCAATTAAAGCAAAGTAATTCTTACTAACGCTCCATGAATAAACAGCATTATTATTATTGCTATTGTTATTTGGTATAGTGGGTCACTTTTTAGGCTGATTACTTCAAGGTCAGCAGTTCAAAATCACTAGTTGCTCTGTGAGAGAAAGACGAGGCTTTTCTATTCTCATAAAGATTTACAGTCTCCCAAATAGAGCAGCCAGTCCACAGAGAGGACCACATGGCCAGCCCCACTATGAGACGAGATGCCCCTCACTGGCCCATGGCCCTGCGGGGGA